ATTTCATAGCTAACTGAAATAAATAAATTTTGCTAAATCAAGCTCGACCAACAAAGAGGCAGAAAAGTGCAGTCAAATGCCAGTAAATTCCTTTGTGAGCCAATTAAAATTAAGGTCCTTCATGAAATGAATTGTGGCGTATTCATAGAATAATTATTGGTAAAAATCAGTTATGTTAACAACTTCTAATACATAGAAAAGTCAGTACGTTTTGGCAACACTATGTTCCAACAATAGCTTTTATGTCATGTCGAAAAATATTTGTTGATTTCTTAACTTAGTCTCAGTTAATTAAAGAGGTTTGTTTTTATGAAAAACATTGGTGATATAAAAGAAAATAGCTTAATTCAGAAATAATTTAAGTTTAAAATTGAATCGATATTTTTACTTTCATGATAAATATTATGCACTTGGCTAAAAGTTAGGTGATCCCACACTACGTCTTTACTTTAGACTTATTATACCAACACTCACTACGCTAATAAGGTTTCACGGCCCCCTTGTACCTCCATCACTAAAATCGTAATGGGCAGACAGTAATCAAACTATTCTATCTGGATAAATGCATTTTGGTTTTTATGACTTATCTTATTTCGAGAAATCAAGTGTGATGTGACCCACACTGGTTTTTATATAGGTTAGATTGTACCCAAACAGTTCTAATCCTGTGTAATACCAGTTTATTTAGTATGTATTGAAAATATCCCAGTCTATTTCTTGAAAAACCACAGTAATTATTTGAAGTCTGTAACAAAAAGAAAAACAAAAGATAATGTTGATTTCGTTTTAACAGAATTCTTGATGCGTAAGCGATAGTGGAATAACAAGTTAATTCTTGTTGCTGTAAAAGCTGCAGTACACTAACAGTTATTCCATCTGAGCCTTCAGTTAACAATAGTTTTACCTGGATCTCAAAGTAGTTACTATTGATTTTTAAAGCCTTCATATTCATCAGCTTTCAACCTTGGAACATGTATGTTGTTTAAGAGGTTTAATACCTCTTTTTTTAAAAAGTCTGGGATTTTTTTTTTATCAAGTGGAAGACAATATCCCTGGAATGCACAACATGATAGTCCTATTTATTTATATATTTTTGTTGTTGTTAGAAGTCTATTCTAGCTGAGTTTTTTCAGTGTAGTATATATTTTTTGTTGTTGTTAGAAGTATATTCCAGCTGAGTTTTTTCAATGTAGTATTTTATACCTTGTGAATTATCATAATTTTTGGGTTAAGAGTTTTAAAACATGTAGGGAATACTAATTTTGTATCAATATTCACACTTAGTAAAGTACTTTCTTTACCATCAGGAAGAAAAAAACTTTTAGGAATGTAACTTATCTTTGTTTACAATAACTGAAGTTAGGCTTACTTATATCATTGTGTAGATGCGATTATTTTCATTCATACAGTTTTAATTATTACATTTTGTTGCAAAATATATTTATCACTGCTGAAATAACATTTTTATCTCATGGAAGTGTATAGCAACTGATGTAACGAATCAATGTTTTTTAACCATAAAAATTGTTCAAACCTACACACTGCTACTATATGTACTGTAAACACTAATTTATCAGTTTGTTTCAACCTGTCCAAGTAAACGTTACCTAAATGATGTTAAATTTCTCATACAGGAAATTGAAAAAGCTGAAAACAAAGAGAAGGTTATTAAAAGTTACATTAAAAAGCTTCAAAGTCGGATTAATCCTCGAAACTTGCGGCTTTATGTGGAAGCTTTTCTTGCGTAAGTTGTCATTTCTTAGTTGTTTACTATTATTTCATTCTGTCACTGTAATATACAAACTATTTTACACTATGATAAGGCACCTAACAATGGGTAAGTTGTGTCGAGTTACATGCAGTAGCTAAGCTTATGACATTTTTTTTAGTAGTAGCTAAGGATGAAATTATGTATAAAACACTGAACTTCAAAATAAATTTTAATTGCAGAAGTTATGTAAACATAATTTGTTAAAGTGTTAACAGTAACTGTTTGTCAGGATAATGATTATGTAACTCAATATATCATAAACTGCACAAAACTATAACAACAAAAAACTATTGGTGAATCCTATGTAAACTCAGCTTATCTTTACTGGCATTTTCAATGGCACATTAGTTTCTGGAAGTTAACCATTTTTATTATCGATATCCTAAAAAAAAGGATTAACAATCACAAAATTATGAGAGAGAATAGTAAAAGGAAGATCACTACAGATCTATACTGGCAATCATTAATACGTCACTCAGATCTAAAACCTTAGTTTACCATGAACATATAAATGTATGGGTAAGTCAGGTAAACTGATGTTTTTAAGTACAAAAAACAAACTATCAGTGTAATGATTAAGAGGACAGGAAAGGACACAATTAGTAATTGAACCAAAAATAATACAGAGTTTGAAATATATTTTGAAAATGATAAGAATTGTGTGTCTTCTTAGTTTTAAGTTAGTTTACTCTAGCAGGTTGTAGTCTAATACAAATGATTTCTTTATCACTCTTGTAGTACCAATATTAGCTTCTTCAGCAGGTAGTAGACTCAAGTAAATGTTTCCCTTGATCATAGTGTAGTACTGATACTAACTTCTGCAGAAGATACTACAGTCTGTCATTCAGTCTCAAACAAATGTTTTCTGTTATAACTGGCTCAGTACTGATACCAGCTTTTCCAGCAGGTAGTACAGTTTTGTATAAATGTATTCTGTAATGACAGGTGTAGTACTGATAATAACTTCTGCAGAAGATACTACAGTCTGTCATTCAGTCTCAATCAAATATTTTCTGTTATAACTGGCTCAGTACTGATACCAGCTTTTCCAGCAGCTAGTACAGTTTTGTATAAATGTATTCTGTAATGACAGGTGTAGTACTGATAATAACTTCTCTGAAAAGTTTTGTGAAGTAGATATAAATAAGGGAGTTTAAATTTGGTCTTACCAACTTCACCGTTATGCTATTTTGAGATCAAAACTTAAACATCAGTTTTTATTCAGTCAATAAAAGGGATACATGGCTAATGCTGATTAAATAAAAGTTGTATAATTATGTACTTAAATTCATCATGGAAGTGACAGGGTAAAGTTATTTAATAAAGTATAGCCATTGAGTTATTTAATAGATGTAGCTATTTAATTTTTATGTTGTATGTTTTTATAGCCGTACAGATATTTCTGGCATCTTGAAAGATAAAATGAAGTAAGTATTAAAGTCTTAATTCATTTCAGATTTCCATGGTATTTTGATCTATAGAAACATAAAAGTTGAATTTTTCTATGTTCTTTGTATATTCCAAGTTTTAGAGTGCAAATTAAAATCAAATGCACAACCTAATGTGCAAGTTAAAGTACAGTAATACCTTGCACTGTGACTCAAGTTTTTGTAATTCCATAACATAAAGACCATTTGAATTGTTATGAACTGGTAAGTTTTTACTAGTAAGCTTTAAATTTATCCTTACATAATCAATATACCTCCTTTTTATGAATTTAAATCTTTTATAGAAAAACTCCTAACTTTACATAAAATTTATGATGTGCCTAATCCTATGATAACATAAATTTGGCCTATAGTGTATGCTTAAGTGTGAAATATGTCTAGTAAACATATTTCTTGAGTCGTAGTTGTAAAATTCTTGATTATTTAGTAACAAGGATTTGTTGATTACATTTAAATAAATGTATGTTCATCAAGTTAATTAAAAAAACAATAACTCAACAGGCTAAAACTCATGTTTTGTATTATATAGATAACTGTTGTGTTAATGCTCTTTAATGAATAATGAAAGCATAACTAGTGTAATCATTATTGATGCTATTTAAGTTAAGGTTTAATACATTTAACATTTTGTTTACAAGCCTTCTGAAAAACTTTTATATATACAGTTAGCATTAAAACATAGTAAGAGAACAGGAAAGTAGAACATTTAAAATATTTTTTTATAACATAGTAATGTATGAGAACAGGAAAGTAGAACATTTAAAATATTTTTTTATAACATAGTAATGTATGAGAACAGGAAAGTAGAACATTTAAAACATTTTTTATAACATAGTAATGTATGAGAACAGGAAAGCAGAACATTTAAAATATTTTGTTGTAACATAGTAATGTATGAGAACAGGAAAGTAGAACATTTAAAATATTTTTTTATAACATAGTAATGTATGAGTACAGGAAAGTAAAATATTGAAGTCTACCAACTTAGTCCTGCATTTTCAAAAGCAACAGGTTAATAGTCTGTTTCATAATTACACAACAAAGAATAAGTTTTATAATTTAAAAGTTAAGAACTGGTTCCCAATGCATAGCTCGCAAATATTACATTGCCTGTGAAGCTGTTTTAAGTGGGTCATGACAGCAAACCACATAAAACAAGAAATAAATTATCCAGCTGCACGCTAGTGTGTCATGCAGAGAAAACAACCTGCTACAGAATGTTATTAACAGGAGTGATAGTTTAGCGATTTTCCACCCGTATCTTGGACTATGGTAATCCAAACTATCACATATTTTCAGTGGATGTGCTCTATTGGACTTTTAATTCACATACCAAATTTCAAGGCAATCCATTAAGAAATACCCGAGATATAACATCTCCAATTTTGATTGGGTTTCTTCCTTTTTTTTCAAATATGGTACACTGGAGTCTCATTTGGTGTAAATATAGGCCACATGTGCAAAGTTATTCAACAAAAAATGGCTCAAATTTGATGAAAAGTTTTGTGCACACCTATGCAAAAAGTCACATGAGCTATCAGTCTAACATTGTTATTACAGCTTCACCTAAGAGTAAAAGTGGACCATTTTTAGTTTTTGTCATTCAGATTAAAGACGACTGATTTAGAGCAGCAAAACTATAAGGTGAAAGGATGTGCAGATACATAAGTATTGGTTAGGCCAAGAAAACTAGATTAGCAGTTTCTAGCTCAACTTTTCAAAAGCATCATACGTGTGGACGGTTATTATTGATTATTCATTGCCAACTTTTCAGCACAAATTTACTAAATTGTATGAAATTATCCTAATTAAAGAGCATTTAGTGTTATGTGATATTAGCTTAAGGTGAAGACAACACTTTTAACCTAAATTCCATGGCATTTTTATAAAGGAAGTTATTAACACTGTTTTAGAGAGGGAAAAACTACCACCATATAGCTTAAAGAACCTGGTTGGTTCTGTAAAATATAGATCTGTTCCAATTAATAGGGTTGCAGTCCTAAAGCTAATGTGGGTTACTGTCAAGTGTCCTTTCTTACTTGCTGTGGTTTGTTGGTGTGTATTGACAAAACATCATGACATCTAATCAAAAACATCTTAGATAATAGATGTGAAAAAAAGGTGAGACCAAAAAAAGGTTGAGTGTGTGACTTAAAGAAATGAAATCAAAATTGGCAACCAAACTGGTAGCTACACTTATAGCATTGATAATAATTTTCCAGCAAATATTCATTCATTAGTTAGCCAAACCACATTTTTTGTTGAACTTGGGGCATGATGGTGGGTAAAACAAGATAAGTGGCCTTGCTATCTAATGAAAGAATATTGCTATAAAATTCTTATCAGTGCTATAAGTGTAGCTACCACTTTGGCTGCCAATTTTGATTTCATTCCTTTAAGTCGCACACCTGATCCTTTTTTGGACACATCTTTTTTTCACATCTAAGGCATTTTTTTATTAGATTACTAATTACATGAATGAAATTATTCTTTGCAACAAACCAACTGCAGTTGTTATGTTCCATGCTTGGGTGGCATTGCTTATGCTCCATAAGAACTGCTTCTAGTCTAGTCATGTAGGCCAGTGAGTCAACAATGTGGCTGATAAAACACAAAACATTGGTAACCCTTGATTTAATGGTGCATTTTACAGCAGCTATGAAGTTACAACTTCAGGTGGCATTGATCATTCTCCAAAAGAACTGCTTCTAGTCTAGTCACATAGGCCAGTGAGTCAACAATGTGATTTGCGGTGCACAAAGGGTTGGGGACCTTTGATTTAATGATGTCTTTTACAGGGTTGACACACTGTTGGTGACTGGGTCCAAGTCCTCCCATCTTCACACAGTCCATACTATGCATGAAGCCATGGACCCAAGACATACTACACTTCTGAAGGTGGATGGTGTTGGTGATGTATTGTTGGAAGTTGTAAGTTTCTTTAATATTGTATCTTGTAATATATATATTTATGAGTAACATAAAAAAATGATATTAAGTATATTTGTATGGATTGTATTACTTGTGGATTAATATGAAGTAAATGAAAAACATATACATTATCTAAAACTTAACTTGTAAAAACATATCTTTAACAATACTCTAACTGATGACAGTAAACATTTTCTGTTTAATATACAAGGATATTTTTATGTATTTTCAGCCTGACATTCTCGCTCACAATCTGCTGTTATTTTGTCAAGGATTGGGACTTTGTAAGTTTAATATTTCATCAATAAAATTTCCATCAATATCATAAAGCAAGAGAAAATTAATGGTTAAGTTGTGAGAAGAAATGTAGCTTTTACTATGACTAGAAAAAAATGTATTAGAGTGTTATTACAATTCAAGAAGTGTATATTGTTGTATTATGGATGTTGTGGAACAACACTTTCACAATTAGATAGTGTAATGCAAACTAACTGATTAATGGAAATTACAATTCACCAAAATTCTGATTATATTGATTGTTATGAAAATAATCAACTGATCAAAATCAGGATTTCCAATAACTAAACTATCCAAATAATTGAAATTTTGCTGCCAATAAACTTGTTTGCCCCATCTATGTCATGGCAAAGCTACTAAGGCTATCTGGTATTGTCACTAATTTTGAACTGCTGACTAGATGGAAGGCAGCTATCTGGCAGCACCCAGTACCAATCTTTTGCTGTTGTTGAACTGCTGATTAAACGAAAGGCAATTTTGTGGCAGCACTCACTGCCAACTTTTCTTTTTCTCTTACTTGTATATACCATGGTTTGAGAAATGCTGTACTAATTGATTAGTCAAATGTAATTTATTAATAAAGCCATCAATACCAAATACCACTAATCATAGCTTTATTCACAGTGAGTGTGTAAATGTATACATTTTCATATTCAGTTCAAATTACCTTACTAGAACAATATCTTTTTTTTCTTTTATAGTGAGTACCCTGCCTATGTCTCGACAGTCATCTTTATCTTCATAATGGGGTCATAAGAAAAAGGAATGGTGTGAACAGAAATAAGAACCTAACTTTACTTTAGTATTCCAGAAATAAAGTTGGTTTAGTAATTGGAGGTTTACAAACATTGGAATGCTTATGTAGTTATTGTTAAACAATTATTGATACTTATAGATTGTAGATATATTGTGTCAATTAAAATAAGATATTGATTTTATTAGCTATTGAAGATTTAACTGCATTTTCCCATAGTTTCAAATATTGTATTTATTCAAGGATATGATTTTTTTATATATTTGTTCCAGAAAAGGCATTAGAAACATTCTCTCTTATCATAAAGAAAAATAGTTTTGTGGTTAGATTTAGAGACTAATTAAACAGAACAATAATCTTGTGCTATTTTGATCTATGCAGGTTTACAAGAGTAAATCCAATAGCAGTTGTTCAAGTGTTCATGTATTGAATAAAGCTAACACTGTATTTAATAATCCAATAAGTATGAAGAGTGGAGTTTTTTTGTTTCAGAAGTTTTGTTTTTATCAAATTCCTTTAGAGCAACCATGTAGACACTGAATTTTAATGGTCACTTATTCTATATATATATATATATATATATATGTGTGTTGTAAGAAACTTAAAAAAAATTTTTTTACACATTTTAATGCCTTTTAAAGTTATAATAAAGATTTTTCATGATTTTTTGCATTTTTTATTTAGGAAGATTTTGGCATAAGAAACAGCATTTGTAACATGCTGGGTTTTTCCAACTATTACATTAAAAAAAATGTATTTGTAAAACATAACTCTCAAAAAATAAAATTTAATACATTTACTGTAAAAGGATCACCATTTAGTATGAATACAATAAATGCTACTTTCATGCATATCATTGGCTATCTTGTGTTCTTTGTTCAGTTGAGTATCCTAATCTGTGAGCTCTGCACTCTTCCAAGCGCTGCCTGAGCTCTTTGATTTCTTGAGATTCCACTTTCATTTTAGAAACCTTTCTGTTTTGTTCTTTTTCTGCTATCCTTAAATGATAAAAAAGAAAAGTATTTGAAATATTGATCAAATAATCTTACATATCTTTGGACCACATTTAACTTTGATATAGATGTCTGTGTGTTTTTCTACTACGAGTGTTACTGAACCTTTTTATAATCTATACCCCTCCATTCAGTTAGATCACAGGGATTCATAGGTAAAATACATTATATGGTTAAATTTCATTAAGGATGTTATGTAGGTTAACGTCTCAACGGTGATGTGTTGAATAATAAGTTTGTAGGATAAGGGAGCCAATAAGTGTTTGAACACAAAGTATGTGAAATGTAGTTACCTTAAATAAAAGTGTTGCTTCTGTGGGATGGAAAAACATAGTAGGAAATTAGTACCTCCTTAGTGAACAAACTATCAGAAGTTTGATATCAGAGAAACTAGTTTCGACACATTCGTGCATCCTCTTCAGTCTCACGTTGTCTTCTGGAATGAAAAAACTGGTCAACAAATGCCTACGCGACCCCTGATCTTGGAATTCCTTTAAGGACACAGGAGGTCAGGATAGTTAAGTTTAAAGTGACCTTCGGAGGTGTTGAAATTAGGCAGGCTTTTTATGAAGCAACTTTTGACGATTCTTCTTTTTTCTGTAGTTATCAATTTTGTATAAAATTCTTGGTGATTTCCAATCAATTTGATGACCAGAATCTCTCATATGAAGAAAATTGGTATTGTTTTAGTTTCCATATTTTATGTCTTGTTTTTTCACTTCTTCTAATTTCACCTACATAACCTTTCTCAAGAATTGGCACGGTAGAATATAAACGCATTGTTTTATATCTTCAAGTGTTTTTCTGTTTGAAGTTATGTTATTTTTAATGGTGTTTGGATATTTGTATATGATTCTAAAGTTATTCTTCCTTAACATTTTCTCAAGGGCTTCAATGTTAGTGGTGTAGCCAATATAGTGTTTTCACATTATCATTGGTTGAACTTTCTTTATCTTCGTGGAACAAGATTTTTTCTTGCTTTGAGATGACAATTTGTAATGAAACATTGTGTAAAATGTAGTTCTTTGAAAATAGAAAAGATATTTTTAATTTCATGTTAAAGTGTTGTCGGGTGGTATATTCTATATGCTCTAAGAAAAAATGAAGACATAATAGATGTTTTGACCAGTTTATGATGACAAAAAAAGAAGTGAACATAACTTAAAGAATTTGTTGGTTTGCAGTATACTGAGAGGACTGGTTCTATGTTTTTTTCTGGTTATCAATCTGTCATTTTACGGTATACTGGTTCTGTGTTTCTTCTGGTTATCAATCTGTCGCTTTACGGTACACCGAGAGGACTGGTTCTGTGTTTCTTCTGGTTATCAATCTGTCATTTTACGGTATACTGGTTCTGTGTTTCTTCTGGTTATCAATCTGTCGTTTTACGGTATACTGGTTCTATGTTTCTTCTGGTCATCAATCTGTCGTTTTACGGTATACTGGTTCTGTGTTTCTTTTGGTTATCAAAACATCCAAGAAAGGAAGTTGGTCATCCTTTTCCCATCCAACTTTAAATTTGATAGTTGGGTGAAGTTGATTAAGGTTGTTGAAAACACTTTCAATATCACTTCTTTTGTTTGGCCACACAGAAAATATATCATCAACGTATCGGAACCACAGAAAGGTTTACGTTTATGGAAGGAACTAATTTGGTTTCACAATATTCCATGAAAAGGTTGCACAGTACTGAAGACCGTGGATTTCCCATGGCCATTCCGTATTTTTGTCAGAAATACTGATCAAGACATTGTTGTTTGCACAGATTTCAATAAGAGAGTTAAAAGTGTCAACAGGAACAGGTAAAGATATGTTCAGTTCAGGTAATTTTCTTTTAAGAAATTCTATGGTTTCTTCAACTGGTACGTTGATAAATAAAGTTTCAAAGTCAAAATTGAACATTTTTCCTTTACTTAGGTCAATGTTTTTAGTTTTGTTTACAAAATCTACACTGTTTTGGATATGCGATGATGAGATTTTTCCAACAACTGGGAAAGACAATGTGAGACTGAAGAGGATGCACAAATGTGTCGAAACTAGTTTCTCTGATATCAGACTTCTGACAGTTTGTTCCGTTTACTGTTTTTTTTTTCACTAATTGCTTTACATGATATTGTGTTATTTTATTATTAGTATCTCCTTGTTTGAGCAATATAACACAGGAGGGTAAATTTCAATGTACCTCTTAAGTATTTAGGTCAAGATCAAATCCCTCTCATACTCAGATGTCACATACAATCCACTGCTGAACTTTGGATTAATTGGCAAAATCATATGAGAATGGTGACAAGTTCCCCCTGAATGGGATGCAAGTCCATTACAGGTGAACCTCCAGATAACAGATAGCACTTATCATAAAATAACTAGGTAGACTGAAACAACTGGAGTAAAATGTCTTGTTCGAGGACATAACAGCACAATGTGAGCCAGCCTGAAACTCGTAACCATCCAAATACAAGTTTGAACTGAGAAGCTATTGAAACACATTGTCCTCTTAAAGAACTTATTAACCATTGAAAAATTTTTAGTTCTGACAGAAGACAATCTATATCTTATTATAGTGGAGCTTGCAATGTATACATCCAAAACTACCACACCAACAACCGTAACTGGATTATATTTTTATAACTAGGCAGTATTTTTATAGCTGAGCAATAAAGAAAACAATTGAAATTTCCACAAAAATGATATGTTTCAGATTTAACCAATAAAAATTACAAAAAAGGAGTAAGTTTCAAATATAAAACAAACTTAAAAAAATTATTTCTTTTTTTAGTGAAAATCTTGAGTGTTGCAGCAAAAAAACAAGGCACTTTCATTGATAACTGCATCTACAAAGAAATACTTCAATAAAATCTACTCTACGATGTAATACTGTGATGATAGCTCACTTTTAAACTTAAAATTTCAATAAAATATTTTTTCTCATGGATGGTGAACATTATTGAATGTCAAATATGAGTATACATTGTAGAACTGTCAGAAAATTCCAGAAAAGGCTGCAGGCCCAATAGCCTTCTGCAGGAACTACCAGTTATACCTGCCTGGAGAGGATAAGGCAAGCATATTACTTAGAAACAGAGGGCTTTTAGTTTTCTAGTATAATTAATAAAATAATTTGAAACGTTTTTTTTTTCATTACCTTTCTACTGTAAAATTATAATTATAGGTTGACAAGGTGAAGCTACTCTTGTAATGTTGGTTACCCTCTTCACTTTATTGTTATACAAATAAATGTTCATTCATGAACTTTGTAGTATCTCACTATATATAGTAATCTCTTTCTCTGTCTTGTCTTAGTTGAAACTTAGAAATAAATTTCAGAGCTAAGTGCTCCAAACTGTTCATAAATCATGCCTGGCCATCAAAGAAGACATTTAAATGTTTCACTTCTGTAGAAAGATACTAGATCAGTGGAATCTGGCTAATTACAACAAGCTGTTGCATGTGACTACAAGTGCAGAACTTTTGAAAGAGCTTCAGCTTCTCTCAGATAGCTAAAAAAAAAAAAGACAGCTATATCAAGACATTTCACTTCTTCAGTGAAGTTTTCCCATTTGGTGAAAATAAAATGCATTTTAGCTGTTAAATTGTTTAAGCAGAAGTCACTTTAGTGATGACCACAGTTGCAGGGTACCTTCTCCACAAACCTGGACTGAATGCCAGATAAGGTACATTGGTTTGACAACAAGGAGTAAAATAAGTTTCTTGCAATAGTGCAAATTACTTGTGAAAGATAAATCACACACACACAAATAAAACCCTAGCATTTTGAATGGGTGTACCCATCTTTAAGAAAATTTGAAATCATATCCAATAGAGTAGAAATATAATGCTTATAATGGTGGTGGAAGTATGGTGTGGGCATACCAAACTCTATCTGTAATGGAATGGCACCATTAATGCTGCACATCATACAACCCTTTGTACTGCCAGATGCTGATGTAGTTGGTCCAGACTTTAGCCTAATGGCTGACAATGTCTACCCCCATCATTCTAAGCTGGTTAATATACCTCTTGAAGAAAAGATTGGTCAAATGAAGTAGTCTGAATGTGTATTAGACTTCATTCTAATCAAGCATGTATGACATGTTTTTGGGACAAGCATTAAATCTGTCAGTTAATTCCAGAAACCATAAATGCATTGGAAACAGCTTTCAGAGAAGTGATGAAGAAGACCTCAGGACTTCTTAACGTTTTTTAAGCAGGCAACATCCACTTCATGTTACCCTTGCTGTTTGTGTTGGTAACATTCCATATTAAAGTGAAATGTTAAGAACTGTAAAAATACAAAATAACTTTTCAAAATGCACATTTATATAAAACACTAGTGAAATATAAATTTAGTTGTCACTTCATACAGGGGCATACAAAAATACTTTATCTTGAGCTGGAATCAAAGCCAAAATATTTGGTTTATTCAGTTGGAGCTTTCAGTTTACAGCTTATATGTCATTTCTGAGAAACAGGTCATCAAGGTCATCCTGAACTTCTTCATCATCACTACAATCCTGAAATTCAATCTCATTCTCATCAAAATCATTACTTTTTCCCACTCCTCTTGCTCAGAGTGCAATTTGTTGCTTACCCCATGTATACAATGTAAATTTTTGTTTGGTGACAAACCATCATAAAAACATCCACAGCAACTGCATTTTATGTACAAAGTACATATAGGATGCTTACATTTACAAGTTAACTTCCCCATAAATAACACTTTATATTGAGACTTAAGTGTCTTTATCTGGGCAATCGAGGGCTGTCACCAGTGTAAACCTTATGCAAAATGTATCCTTTTTGACCAATAAAAAATGCTCACAAGTTTTCATAACAGTACAACAAATGCCACAAAGGGGCATTTTTTTTTTCATTACCAAAAAAGAATGTTCCCCTGGCTCTTGTTGTGTGTGTTAAATTAAACATTAATTGGTTTGATTTTAGAAAAGAGTAAAGTTTGTGATTTTAATACTTTATACTTACTTTGAAACCTGATCTTGTAACCTCTGAAGTTCACGTTGGCGACAGATTGTTTCCAACGTCTCTTCCAAAATTTTGTGACGAGCTTCTCGGGTTTCTTGGATCATTGCCATTTTCTCTTCTAATTCCTTTTGTTGGATTAACTTTAGCTTAGATAGTTTTTTTCTCAACTATAATATCAAAAGATATTTTTCAGATAAATGTGCACATGGTAACAGCTATAAAACCACTTGAGCACAGAACAATAAATTCAATACTGATGTGTTTACTTTGCATAATTATCTCAACAAATGTTGTACATTTTTCTGTGTAGCTCTAACAAGATTAACATTATAGAGAATGTTTAGTTGGCCACAAAGCAAAAAGCTTTCATTTCTTAATAGAAATCTTAGTTTAAAGATGTTGAAAGTCATAATTACAGCAAATGTAAATACCTTAAACAACAAGCTTATAACTGCTAACTGCCACACCTTTCCTCTAAAAATAACCACAGCACTATAATTCACTCAAGTACTTTATGTAATGATGTGTCCATAAATACATGTACAAGAATAGCTGTATATAAGATCTAGTGGTAAAATGAGCAGGTCATGCATATTACTCGTAGTTCATTCAGTTTTTCAAGGTAAAACATTTTTGGTTGGATACTCTTTTCCTTTTAATATACTGTATTTCTGTTTCATCTTTATTCAGGCTGATTATGATTATTGTGCATGGTAATCTTTTACTCGTTTTATTTTTCTCCACTAAAGATATGATATATTCATCATTAGCACACAGAATCAACAATAACCTAGAGCTTAAGAATGAAAGCTAACATTTTTTTTTCTGATAGTCTGGATGCAGATCATGGACATTTTCACTTTTACTTAATCCAATGTATTAACTTATACAACCTCTATAAACTGTTACATGGAACCCTCAAAACATCTTTAATGGCCCATGTAGTCTTAAAAAGTAGTACAGGAAAAAGTTAGTTGCTCTTAAATTACCACACCCATTCCATTTTACAAGTAATAAAACCAAATGTATCATACAATATTAAGAGTAAAAAACCAACGTTTTTTGGCACAATGGAAGGTAAAATCTTTATTATTAGTGTTACGTATTAGAATTTCAAATAGCCTCAAGTTGAGTTAAATGATACTTTCAATTTAATAGTTAAATTGTACTTTGGATTTAGCAGTTAAGTACAAGCCGACATATAGTCAGTTTATGATATTTGCCAACAAGATTGATACACACAGTTTTCTATTTTAAGACAAATATGTTTTAATATACAAACAATACAATTTACAATAACAGTTATTACAAATAGTTATTATACACAATGATGTATATACAAAAATTTTACAAACTTACAAGCAATATAAAGTCTTCTTTCTAGTCTGGAACTTCCTTGATATCTTATCAAGGGTTCATGATGAGCGAGTTAATTATGAGTTGATGTGGGTACAATTTACTTAACGGGAATCTAGCTAGCTTTATCCTTTGTTATTCACAAGTGACACATGCCAAGTTTTCCACCATTGTTTTTGTAAAAGTACTGATGTCCAATTAGAGTCCACTGAAGTTAAATGATTTGTAATGTTTGAAATTTGTAAATGATCCTGGTCAAATATCTGAAGTTTCCAGATTGATAAATGTTATAACAATCACATTTATAGTTTCCAAAGTTTATAGCACAATGACTATAGCAAACTAATAATGGATACTCTTTTTTTTTGGCGTGTCACATTGGTTATATTTATAGGTGTATGGAGAGTTTCTCAAAATTTCAGTTTTACGTAACAATACTGACATTAACATACAAGCGTTTACTTACACACATACATTGTTGATTCTTAATCTCGAGAATCTTCTACAACTTTGGAAAATAGGAGGGAGTTTCACGATACATATTTAACACTATAAGCTATGCATGTTTTTAAATATAAATTTAATCTAAACAAATGTTGATATTAAAATAAATATACAATAATAAATTTGTCACAACTCCCTCCTTAGAGAATTAAAAATTGGCATTAGACAATTTTTAACTAAGATATCATATACTGACAACATTACATTAAATATAATACATTATTCAAAGGATTATACCACTTCAGTAATCATGATAGTATAGAACACAATTAATACAAACAATCTTATGATCATAAAATTACATAGTATGTGAAAGTGTATCGGCACAAATGTTATCAACCTTTTTGACATGGAATATCTCCAAATCATACTATTGTAGTGATAAACTGCAATTTAACTATCTTATGTTTCTTTCTTTTCTTTTTGATTAGATATCCCATAGTGGGTAACAATGCTAAGACCATGTCCTCAAGACGGAACTTACGTTCTTCAAAAGTTGGGAGAGGTTTCAAAGGAACAACAGGAATTTTCTGGTTAGGTTTTCTTACCAACCGACAGGTATGACAAGTTTTACAAAACTGAGAAACGTCTTGCCTAATTTTTGGCCAAAATTAATGTCTCATAATTTTGTCATATATCTTGTTGACACCTAAGTGACCTCCCATTGGGAGTTCAAGGGCAACTTTCAATATTTCAGAACAATAGTCCAGTCCTCTGAAGCTGGTACATCTGGTGATCTCCATTTCCTCATAAGCACACCATTTTTGATAAAATAACCATTTGGAACTTTCTCCAGTTCATCTTGGGAGTGCATATTTAAATAGTGAAGAGAGTCTGCAGATCTTTTTCTAGCTCAGTGATCAGTTTACTTTTAATAAATGGAACTTCACTAGGTGAATCAGATCCCTCACGCCCATAATTGTCACTCACCAAGGTATTATCAGTAGGACGATCATCCAAAAGTTCCCTGTCGGATCCAAAAATGTTTGAGACAAATCTATAGTATCATCCTCTGAATCCACGTATATCATTTGTTTTTGGCTTAATTTCTTAACCTAAGCTTGAGTCACAGCACACGAGGGAAACACATCGGGATTCTCCTCAATGACATCATCATCCTCAGATGAAACAGTAATTGGCTCACTAACCATTTTAAGTTCAGCAACAACTTTTCCCCCAGCCAAATCGTTTCCCAACAATAATGTTACACCCTTAATTGGCAGAGTAGGTCTTACTCCAACCACAACTTTAAATTAAATGGTGGCATATTAACATATGGATTAAGTTCAAAGATGTCATTTTGCCTTGATCAATTGGAGTTGGGTCTAATTTCCATTTCTTTCAGTCTAATTTCTTTCTCGGCTTCGATATGGGCTTTTTTTTTCTTGGCTTCAATAAGAGCTTGTTCGAGCTCGAGTTGGGTTTTAGCTGGATCTCTAATGTATCTTTATCACTCAACTTTGATTTGCTAGTAGGGACACTAGAGTATTTCTCTAATCTTTCTTTGGGCAACAAATCATCATTGACTAGTATTTCTAAAATATGCTTTTTTTAGTTAATTTTTTCTCATTGATCTTTTAATTTCTAGTTCAAAAATCTTCACAATTTCGAACAATTCATTTTGTTATATTTTTCTAGTTGTTCGAGGGAGGGTGATTCAAGACAACCTTGATAACCAGACATGATCAAGTCTTGTTGGCACTGATAAATATAAATTCAATTGTATAAATGCTAAATTTAACAATAATTAAACAAATAAGTAGAAACTACATGAGGAGAAAC